TTTCAAATATACTATCCAAACGGAATCACTTACGCATCATTTCATCTCTCCCCTCCCCGACACATTACCATCGGGTACATCGGTAAACTTCCACCCACTATCCAAGAAGCACTCCACCACAAGAACCCGCGCCGCAATCTATCGCATTCCATCCGGTTGCAAGAGCACCCGGAACGCGTCGATTTACGCTCCGAAATTTGATACGCAGCCCGATGAGAAGGTTTCGAGCACAGAGATTGATGAAGTAGCCCATCGAGACGTGTTTCGCTCGATCAGACCAGCTGGTATACCAGCGATTCCCGCGTCTCAACGAAACACCATTTAATGCATCCAGGTGATCAACATGTAAATGGCAGTACGGCGGCGCGGTCGCATGACGCGAAGCGAGACAAATTTAATGACGCACATAATACGCGACGCGAGCGTCTTGGGACGACCTAGTAGACGTAATTAACGGTTATTCAAATTTCCATGAGGGAGTAGACTTATCGAACGCTGCGCGAAGAGGGTAGGAAGAGAACTCAAGGTTCCATCGACGATATTACAGACAGGCATAATTAGCCTGCGTGACAAGCTGGCGCGAATGGAAGAAGGCGGTGGATACGATGCCTGAACATTTAAGATCCAAAGCGTGGGCCCCGCTGTTGACTAGCGCAGCGGCGCGATGAATATGCAAAGCTTGCCTGGTGTCGGTCCCTTGAAGCACATCCAGGTACTGTACGACGAGCGCGGCCTATGTTTCATGCATTCAGATGCCCTTCTTATCGCCATTGTCGTCGTCGCCGTGTCGTCCGAACTGGCCGTGGAACAGTTGAACAGTGTCGCCGGCTGTCGTGTTCATTAGGTGCCGTTTAAAAAGTCCCCGGGACGATTCGCACGGAATTCTCGCCACGAGCAGCTGCCATGCAAATCCCGTTCAATTCGCGCGAACACGAGGAAACTCTTAAAGCTTTTTATAGTACGTCTCGTCTAAGACTGAATTCGTGGCCTGGAAGTCGGAGTGCCACTATATAACTCGAGCGAGTAGGTAGGTATTACGACGTGACGTTTCTCGCGGTTTTACTACATCCGCGCGCACCCTAAATAGCGTGTCCGACGGTATGCGTGCGCACGTTGACACTCGTGCATGCATCTGTGTAAGGACCCCGCTAGTTTTTAACCTCTTACCCTCCGCCCGGCCATCTACAACCCGGCAGATTGATTTACGTTTACACAACCGGGAGCGTGGCGGAATTCGATGACCGCTTAACTTGGTCTCGTTCTTTCGCCGTTCTCGGAAAGCTGTTCGCGTTATCGTCGCGAAGGAACTTCGGTCGATGTTCCATGAATTCGATTAGTGAATTCTTGGACTAGCTGCAGCCTGATTGTGAGTTTAATTTAGCGAACGATGTGAATCATGAAACTGTGCACTAACTGTACGCTGTGTCAGTTATCATTATTTACAATACATTTATTTATTCATGTCTGTAATTACAAAACTTAATTAGCAATAAAACAATATACACTGTGGAAAGATTCAATTATCACGGTCAGCGTTTGCTAGAGATAAACGAATTGTGGCTATACACAATGCATGTCCCCACCGGTTTATGAGGGCTACATGTGAGATCGTCGTTAAGAAAGTATCGGAAAAGTTTTGGATACCGGCTGGCCCGTTGTCGCGGGAAACCGGACAACTTCTTGGCAATAATATGCACGTGTGACCCAACCCCGGTAATAAGAATAACTTTTTCCCTAATGTTCGTGCTCGTCTTGACATCGGATGTATCCAACGAATGTTCCATCCCATGGTCCACGGTTCCGTTCCCCATGTTCAATTACGATTCTCAAGTTTCACTCGTGTGTGAAATACGACGCCGTTACCTTGCCGGGTAAACAACAATGCGATGACTCTAATTTCCTGGACAAAAGTGGAAACGTTATTGTGACCCGAGGAATGGTACTGTTTCAGTATTGCCGCCTACAAAGGATTTATTAGCCTCTCTTCGAGACCGATGATTTGAGATTCTTAAGTTTCGTATTTAGGCTCAAATGCTTCATTTAAATATTATATTAAACTGTTTTATGTGTGTTTGGTACATCAAATTATCCGTTTTATTATACCTACTATAAAATATTAACATATCCCATCGCAGTTTCGCCTGCACTAATTACCGTGCATAAATTTCAAAATGTGTAGAATAGGAATATTTCATGAATAAAAACCACGTCGTTAAGTCATGAAACTTGAAAAACATTGAAAAATACGTAGAAATACTTTTCATCCCAGTAGAACATGAATTTTTCAAAATGCATAAGCTGATTTTTAATGAGTTCATTACGTAATATTTTAGAACAAAGATCTCTTAGATACCCTATTGCGTTAAAGAAATACTGACGAAAAGGTAAAAACCTATTTTCATTCTTTTTCATCTCGCTGATTGTTCATAATATTGTTGTTTGTTTTACAAAAATATATTATCCGGCACTCAGTTGTATAAAGAAGCTTCTGTACGAATTTCGTTATAAATCGTTTTTCAAATATTTGCTGATACCCTATTGCGTTAAAGAAATACTGACGAAAAGGTAAAAACCTATTTTCATTCTTTTTCATCTCGCTGATTGTTCATAATATTGTTGTTTGTTTTACAAAAATATATTATCCGGCACTCAGTTGTATAAAGAAGCTTCTGTACGAATTTCGTTATAAATCGTTTTTCAAATATTTGCTAACATACAATAAACGCTCTCGCTTTATACATATAATAATAAGAGTAACGTCACAGAACAATAACATGTTTTTCAACGACTCTTTGTCATTCTCATTCTATCGATTCCAAAGTGTGTTTCACTACAGTATAATGAAAAGGTAGTTATAAGAGTAATATCTATTAAATAGACGTACTTACGAAGAAATCCCTTCTCGGAAAAATATTCCACCTAAAGAATGGAGAAGTAGTTAAAGAGAGCATCACCAGCGAGGCTTTTCATAAAAGAACCGGATGGTCCTACTTTTTTTTTTATATATGAAAGGGACTAACGTTTTACATCGCGGGAAAATACGCGGCGAGTATGGTCAACGACTTCGCGACAGGCTTTCGCGTAAAAATTCTTATATTGTGCTAGACTATCATATTATCGACCGTTAATGCCACGTATTATAAGTTATAGCGACAGGAGTGCTCTACGGTTGAGTAGTCCACGTTTATGACTGCTTATGAAAGTGTTCTATTAAAAGGGCGGATACCGTTCTTAAATAATAGATGAAACGAACAACGGGTGGTCGTAAATGACGTACTATAAAATATTTTACTTATGACCAGAGTAATGTCCTGGAGTGATGTATTTCGTGCAAGACAATCATACATGAATTTAAAAAGGAACGTATACAGTAATATGCAATCAACTTGCTAGATTGCTATCCTCTTGCTACCAGCTAAACTACAAGTCCTTGTACACCCTTCTTCAGAGTCAATAGGTATCGAATACCATCGAGCCTACAGTGCCACAGTAGTGACCAACCTTGCCACGAGTGAGCCACTTTCAAGTCCCTCGAAATCTCGGCGGCGCCCTACGAGTGAGCACTTTACCGGGAAGAGTGTGAGCAAAGCAGGGTTCGTGCGTTCGTTAACTCGACGCAGAGTCTTCCGCTTCGCTTACGGTTTGACAAGTCCGTCACGTTCCGCGCGCGTTAGTACGGGAACGCGAAGGAGAAGCGCTAGTCTGAAGGGTGAAGTTTGAAACGAAACAAAACATCGTAAAGTCCCCTTGTCCGTGGAGGATGCGACCTGTTAGCTCGGCATTCAAGTAAGTGAGAAAAGTGGCTAGGAGATATAAACGCGCTGGTTTCCGGGGTTCATCGTCGTCGTTCAAATTTATTAATATAATGGTGGATGTGCGCACCGCGCGATGTGCACTCGCGACGATAGGGACGACCGAGTTCATGCTATTTTCATAAACTTTCACGGAAACCGGAATTTTTTAGTTGCCCTTAATTTCCGAGCTTGGCTCGTACTCACATCACTACGCTGCCTCTCAGTCGCCCATCCTATTTCAGCGTCGAAAGCTGAAATCGACGTGGTTCAAGTGGTTTTCAACGTTTTCCGAGACTTGAATATTTATTTGCTCTTCTATAGAGATGTGGCCCGGGGCGTTTGGAATTGAAACGAGCGCCACCACTGATGGTTTCTAGGTCCTGTAAAAATGCACCAGTAATGGCCACAAGTTGACATCAAATATTATGAAATATTTCGCATTTTCTTTGCTTTAATGTCGTTCTGTTGTTACAAATAAAAATACTAATTCGCGAAGCTAATAATGAACATAATTGAGGGAAGAAATGAAATATTCCGATAATCTATGGGAATCACTTGAAGAAATTCGAACTTGTGAAAAATATACTCGATAAAATTACAAATCTGTCAGGGTTGATCACGAACATGATAGTGATTTCAAATGGGAGTTTCATAGTCCAAAGAACAGCGAGTGATCTTAAGGTGGTCGATTCCAGTTGGATCGTATCCCGAAGCATCAATCAGCTGTCTGCGCAATCAAGGGATAGGTACTCTCTGCGAGGACATCTCCATGGAATTTCGAGAGGTATCTACCACTGCCACTCAATTATCCGATCTCGTATACGCTCAAGATGCTATCGATCTCGACGGACCCTATACCCTGTGTAGGGGATCAGATGACCTGAGTAATTAAATATTCCGGACAGGCAATCGAATGGAGCTCCTTTTTGTAGAGGACACAAAAAACAATAAAGCAACCCAAGTGCCTTAAAATACTGTTTTGGTGAAATAATTTGATTTACTTTGATCGTTCCAAGTAGCTCTTATGTAAATGGTTATGAAAGAGAATGTAAATCCGTTACAATCTGCTTTATGTAAATACCAAAATGTATAGTACATACCGAACAAAAAGTTTCAAACGATTCGATTAATTAAAAATTTTAGTAGAATTTTTATTATATATTTCTCGTTATTATATTTAAATCTGGTAATCTTGTATGATTACAGATGCTACAGTGATGGACAGCGAAGGAACACTGGGCCGCGGTCACGGCAATGGGGGCCGTGTACTGCGCCGTCAGCGGTCCCTGGAATGGCGAGAGAGGCGCGGTTACGGGCCCAGTGCTCAGTCGAGCAGCGACGACGAAGAAAACTCCAATCATGCCGTTGGTGCTACCGCGTCGATTTCTTCCACTGGTAGAGGTGCTCGAAGTCCCGGTCAGGTCTTTGCCTCGCTCCTGGCGCAACAATACGGAAGTGAGTGATGATATATGTAATTGATGTTTGATGTCTTTGAAAGTTTTCTGTTGCGTGTGTACGGGGAGGAAGTTTCATGGACCATAGGTCGTACGGTCAACAATGTAGGCGCGCCACAATGTTTGGGTAAGGAGCGGCATTTGATGGGAGTTATCGAAGAACGTATTCGGAGGGAATTGGTAATTTATTGAAGGATCATGGAAGGGCTGAGCTCTGTGGGTAGTCTAAGAATGGCAACAGGAAAAGTATTAAGTCACGATAATTGATCGCAGTTCTTGATCAAACAGTCTTTATATTAATTCTTGGATAGGATGCCTGTCTTGATTCTGACTCAATTTAGATGATTCCCAGATAGACAAGTAACACAAAACCTGCGCGATAAAATAGAGTCGATGTTACCCATCAAATTGGCCAGAAATGTGGGTCTATTAAAATCGACTTTTCCACATTATATGTATTATCAGATATTTGGGTCGTTAAGTTATCTCTTCGAAGAGATGGGACTTAAATCTAGGATCTTCTGTCATTATTCAGTGAGATTACGCGAATGTTTAATAAAATATGTATCGCAACGTGAAGCGAAAATTTTAGTTACTTTTAGGTCAAAGGTTGTTCTTAATAAGATGTAGATCAGAACGTCCTAGATGTAAGTTTCGCCTTTCTTAATAGGTATACATCGATCCGAAAATCGTTTAATATAAGGAGGAGAGGTTGATTTCTTCACTGGGTTATCGATAAAACAAAACAAAAATCGTCAAGGAAACCGACAAAATGTTAGGAAAGCTAGTCCCTTAAATATGAAAATAGATAACTTATATAACAAGTTTGTCAGAAAATACAATGCGACTTATAACTAACAACTTCATTAAGAAAGTCGTCGGCTCACCGTACCCGTCTGACGGGACAAAAGAAATGAAAATAATGATTCGTCTGCTAAGGTGCCTGATTGGATGACACTTCGTTCGCCCATTTTACCGGCTAGTTTCAAACGAACTTTAACGAGCAACTTAATGATCAACCTATGAATTTCCAATTGCAACAATTAAATTGTCCGCGCTGGATGCAACTGGAAATAACAGCGATCGTCGAGTAACCATCTGCCGAGTTAGGAGAACGTTTTGAACGCGGCTTAACGATACACGTTGGTTGGTCGCTCGACGGCAACCGATATTTTTTTCTTTCCTTTCGTCTCGATCTGCCGGCGCCAATAATAAAGTTCAGGGTGGCTCGTTCATCATATTCCATCAAACGAGCGCGGACCACGGCCCTCGACCATTCGGTTCGCCTCTGCCTCTCTTTCGCGTCTCGTCCCTCTCCTTCTATAATCTTCCTTCGACTCCCGGGCAAACGCGTAGATTAAAGGATTTACGAAATTAGTTTTACTTCCTCGTGACGTCTACGAGCGCGGCCGGATATTAAATTCGGAGGCAAAATCCAGATTGTGCCGGTGCTCGTGGTGCCGCGTCGTGTTGCGAACTCTGCGCGGGTAAACAAGGCCTCAAGAATAATATTCGTGGATTCTAAATGAACGATACCGGTACTCCACAGAGTACCACAACCATTAAAATCTTTTTACAAATTATTTGTCACGTTTAAAATTAAATTACCACTATTATGTTTGATAAGATCGATCGCATGCGGCTCAACTTCCTACGTTTGGATCGAAATTTTGGAAACAACATGTACATACTATATACATCACACAACAATACACCATCCACTCACGAATACGTAATCGGGTTGCATCGCCTCCGCGATTCGTTTACGTAGCGCATATCGATCGCCCGATTCGTTCGCGGTACGCCATATAAATAACGCTCACCGCATAACTGCATTATCATTGACGGCTTATTTGGATTACTACTTACGCAAATAATAGTTTAATATCGCGCATTCCGGTTGCATGACCATTATTTGACCTCGGATACAACCGGTTATCTCGATTAAATCTACAGTTCGTAACCTACCACCATCACAGCATATACATATAATTTTCGGTATGTATGTATATTGCGGAGATATCGTTTAATCGTTACATTTGGATGAATCATGGGTAAAATTTTTCAGATTCTCTTGCATTATATAATCTTTCCTTATTTCTTATTAAATATTGTAAACACCGCAAATTGACGAGAGTGGTAGATTTATTAATAAAATCGTGACTGATACGAATGTGTTTTATTTAAGACTTCAAACTTCTTTTCACCGATGTGCGCTTCTCGATCGGCTAACCGGGAACGCCAGAATGGACAGCTAGGCCAATGTAAGCAGAGGATATTCCGGGATCTCGCTATACTGTTGCACTTAATATGCATAAATACTTCCGTTCAGAGCGATAAATAAAGAAGGTGCAGAAGTGTATATGACAACGGCGATCATTTGACATTCTCAGCTAGTCTACCAAGAAACGTACATCGATAAAAGACTCGAAGTCTTAAATAAAGCATATTCGTATTAGTCATGATTTTATTAATAAATCTACCACTCTTGTAAAATGGTGTAAACAATATTTATCAAACTTTTTCCTCTGATAATGTTGTCAGTAAAATAAAACTTATCGATTTAGTCGACAATTCATAATTATCTAAATGAATGAACGGAATTCCCTCAAGTACCTACCATGTTACACTATTTTTAGACCCATTCTGTCGTCGCGAAGCACATGAAACGTCAGGAGGGTGAAAAACTCGCTCGATTTCGGTCACCTGAGGGTCGGTACCACGCGCGATCCTTGACTCGACTTCCCACACTCCGCGCCCTCCTTCCACGTTCGTCTTGAAGCCGGACAAAATAGCCGTGGAAGATGGAACGGGGGAGTGGGTGGACACGGTTACAGGGGACGCGAGAGGGTGAACTCAATTAATACCAGTGCTCTCGGTTTATACTATATTTCTTGGTTGCGGTATCAAGCGAGCGAGCAGCCCACCTCACGTCTGTCTGCATTTGTTCCAATTCACTTGCTGCCGATTACCGCTCCCTCCCAGGCTGGATACGCCGCTCGACCGCCTCGACCCCGCATCGCCGTTCCCCATTTTCATCCCTGTTCTCCCATTTCCTCTCCGTACTCATCCCTTCATCGTTCTGTCCCCCTTGCTGCTATCCTCGTTCCTCGGATATACGCGTCTCCACCGGGTTCGACCAGACTCGATTCGCCATGGCAAAGCGTCACGTAACCGCGTTCCAAGTGTATCGACAGAAACGACTCATCTTACGCATCAATTTTGCGCAAACAAACAAAGTAATTTTTAACTTTGATAAAACTGCTGCTTGTGCAAAACATAAAATTGAATCACTTATGAGAAATTCATTTTCTTTAGGAAATCTGCTTTAACCCAAAGTAGGAACTGTTCAATAATTTATGTTTTCTGTCCCACTAAATGAAAAAGAAATATAACGTATATTCCGGGTATATTCATTCATCTGTCGATATGACGCGCGAATTTCCTAATAGGTGTACGACGCGCACGAAATGTTCAATGGCAGAGATATAGGAAAGAGCGTTGTTAGTTAAGAGGTACGCTTGACTGCCGCACTGCAGACGCCGCATCGCCTTGAAATCGCGCGGTTAATTAACCCCCGACTGGCTGCGTCGGTCTCGAGCACCGGTAACGATAATTGATGGGTGCTATGGATCGCGAGGCCACGATCGATTTCCCAACGTGGATGGCGCTCATATCGAACGGACATAATGATATCGCCGTCGCAGAAAAGTGTTTGAGCGTTTGCTGTTAACAAATCACGATGAAAAATCGAGTGCGTTTATCTTCCTTTTGTCCACAATAGTTAACACGTTGAATGCCACATTTTACGTGGCTTGCCCGTCTGTTCAATATGGATCTATTATTACACGTTGCATAGTATAGTGAAATTTTATTTACAATAGACAAGTTAAAGTGTATAATGATATCTTACTGGGGATCACCGGTCACTGAATTTTATTATTAGATTTTTTATTTTCAAAGGATTTTTCAATTATATTTGACACGATAACCTTTATGGAATTCAGATGATGATATCTGAATTAACAAGTAAACGAAAAACGAAAACTGTTGATTGGTCGACACATCGTAGAAACACATCAATCTATCGTTGACTGCATGAACAAATATTAAGAGCCATCATTCATATTGACACGAACTACGGATCTCGGGCCGTAACCTCCGATGGAACAGTACCCAGCCTGTGACACGGTCTGTTATTAAAGCTTTATTCCAACGCTATCCCCGTAGCAAGAGATCGTAAAAGGTATTTCGATCCGTGATATAAGACGGTAACACGACAATGCGGGCTTTTACGGACGAGGCTTCTACTCGTAACAGGCCTGCCAATCGTCCGTAACGCGATCCGCCACTTACATCTTCACGTGAACGTAACGGCGATACCTAATAAAATGTCGCCGGATTATTTTTCACCAGAGGACCTGCTACTCCTTCTGCAGAGAGTCTCTGAATCGACGTCGCCATTAACGCAATATAATCCCATCGGACGCTGTACATAGGCTACCTACGAAGTGTTAACAGTGAGAGAGTGCTTGGTTTCGAATCAACTATCAAACGACAGCGTCAGTTTCCTCGTTAAACGGTTTTTAGCAAAGAACTTTAAAATAAGTAAACTGTCCTCAAAGACTCAGCTAATATTGATTATAAATAATTGAAACTAAACCTTTGTACAGAATTCGATCGGGTATGTTGTGCTCCTAGCTCGTACATTTAGACATTTGCATTCATCGAGGCTAAGACCAACTTTGAACTCCATTTAATCGCGGCGTCAAAGGGGTTGTTTTATGTTTCCCAGCAAGCGTTTACTTCGGACGTTACATCGTCAGCTCGTTACATACTATACATATGAATATGTACATGTATTCGGGCTCATGGTTTACCGCATCACACTCTGCTACTTTTCAATTGGAAAACATTGACCTCCGCGCGACGCCGACGACACGTCGGATAATATATAGTTTCCCGGGGTATTGTAAGTGTTGATTTTCCGCGTTGTGTTTG